ATCAACTTTAACTTGAGAATATCCGCCAGAAAAAAATCATAGCATGTAATTCGTCTTTAAAAAGACAAACACATGACATGATGACAGTAAAATTCTCCTGTTAGAGATTCCATAGTAAATTATGAGGGAAAAACCAGGAAAAAAACCTCTTAATACTATCCGGACATGGTAAGTATTCGTTCGTGCATTTAGTTTACCTTCAATAAACACCAAAATTCTGATTTTATATGTTGTGTTATTTAAAAAACATAAATGATGTATCCTCTATATGTTACTGACTTACTAATACTGGTATTTTCTTATTAATAACTTCCTCTTTCAGTATTGGTAACCAGATCCTACTACATTCTGCAAAGGAATTTGCGACACAATTGGGCTCATTTAGTACAATTAGAGCCGCTTCTTTGATTTTTCTTTTTTTACCATCCGTTTCTTTTAGGACTACATTTGAATTATTCCATTGAACCCTATGTTCATTATCTCATGCGTGTGTACATATTTGAGATCTATCAAATTCTCTATTTTTAATATAAGATTGATGTTCACTTATTCTAACATTTAATGGCCTTAATGTTTCACCTAAATAAAACTGATCGCATTCACAAGGTATTTTATAAATGCAATTCTTTGTCCTTTCTTGTTTATTGTTAGGTTTGGTTTTGGACAAAATAGATCTCAACGTGTTTGTTGTTTTGAATGTTGTTGAAATGTTGAATTTATTTCCTATCCTTTTAAGTTTTAAACTAAATGCACGAACAAATACTTACCATGTCGGGATAGTATTACGAGGTTTTTTTCCTGATTTTTCCCTCATAATTTACTATGAAATCACTAACAGGAGAATTTTACTGTCATCATGTCATGTGTTTATCTTTTTAAAGACGAATTACATGCTATGATTTTTTTTTGACAGATATTCTCAAGTTAAAGTTGATTTCATGTAATAGAATGAACTATCTTATAAGTAAAGTCGTACCAGGAGCGCAACTTAACAATATTGGCAATATCATGTTAAAGTTGTCTACTTTAAAATGCATAATGTATGTCTGAATTGTCAATATAAATATGTCAGATAAAATTAAATTATTAGAAGAATTTTTCACTATGTAACAAAAAACAAAATTTGTTTAATTTACTGTTTGTATTTTGAGAACGATTTCCGAAGCGGAAATTGAAACGTCAATAAACGTATTTGAACTTTAATTGTGGCTTATTCCCAGTTAAATAGTAATTAACTTGATATAGATGTACTGACAGAAAAGCTAAGAAAGTGGGCTCCTTACTGAATGGTCTTTGCTGATTATATTATGTTAGAGTATATGTGCTTGGAATAAACACAAGTTGTTGAAGACATCGCATTGCTTGTGTAAAAACTAGGACGAGTAGGAGAATTTAAATACCTTGGCTCTTACATAACAGAAAATGAAACAATAGAACGAAAACCAGGCTGGTTAGTTTAATTAACAGAGAATGATAAAGTGCTCGAAAAATTGATAAAGAGTTGAAAGAAAAGATATACAAGATGTCATGATTCCTGCGTTGGTGTACGGTGCTGAATTTTAGCGTATAAAGAGGGTTCAGAAAAAGAAGATAAAGAAAGCTGAAATGAAAATTTTACGGTAGATGTAGAGTAAGACTAGCAGGGACAAGATCAGAAATGACGTGATTAGGGAAAGAGCTGGGGTGACTAAAGTCTCAAAAAAGGTTAAAAAAAAGACTGCAATTGTTTGGCTACATCAGATCTAAAAATGAGAACTATTTAGGAAGAAGGAGGCCGCTGTTAAAAGTGATATAAACATTTAAATTAAGAAAACACGATGGATAAAAATACGTGGTGGAGAAGAGTAACGAATAATAACTCTTGAAAGGGAAAAACACGACCTTTACTTACTGCTTGTATAATTTCGTACATTATTATATTAAAGAAAAGTAGGCTTAACCAGGCAACCCTGTCTGATTCCGCTTTCTACTGGTATACACTGTGTTATTTTTCCATTTATCTTTGCCTGTATTCGATTATGGAGGTAGATGTTTTTGATGGTTTGTATAATATTGATTGGTATGTTTCTTTTATACAGTAGGTGTAAGACGTCTTCAACTTGGATGCGATCTTGCATGATATCGATTTAAAAGGTAAAATACAAAATTATATACGGGCGAGTCTAACTGAGCACAATAAAGTGAAAACCAGAGAAGAAGAACTTAAACTGTTACATAAAATTAAATATTGCTATAATGCCATCGAGAGAAAAACAGTGGGTAAACTCTGTGTTATGTTAATATCAATAGTCGCCAAAAAACGATACGTGTCGTACTCTGACTTCCATTTCAAGGTGTCAATTGTCGTTTTGTATCAACTTATTTGTAGCTAAGGCCTCGCTTCTACTCAACACCTTCAGACGTGTTGTTTTAGAGGGAGACATACGTCGCTTGATAATTGGAGGCATTGGTTAGAAAGAGATACAACTAATCGGTAAAAGCGTTAAAAATATAGGTTGGAGTTAAAAATTTGTTTATATGTAAACATCGGGTCGTATATCGTATAACCGTATCGTATAAATCTTATTTTTTTGGTATTTTTCACTTCAATTGAGTTAGGAAATTTGATTTTATTTGCAAATGTCTCAATAATGGCTCCAATTATTTCAAATATTGCCCTAAACATTATTTGTTTAGACACTGCAACCTGTAAATTTTGCCCTATAGTTTTTTGGTAGCTACCAGTAGCAAGAAATTGGAGGGTACAAAAAAAATTTATTGCAACTGGAACTGCCACAACATTATTATGGATAATTATATTTTACATGAATCCATTTAATATATCTCTTGCTATATATTTGATTAAACGAGACAATCCTTTAAACTGCAAATCTGTTAGTAGATTGAAAGGATCACTTTCATCTCTAAGTAAACGCCTATTAATGTTAAAGTTTCTTTATACTCTTAGCCTCATCCTCATCCTCAAAAACTAATACGTTCATATTGTTCACAGGCAACATTATTACTCAATCAATATACCTTACCTACTAAATAAACTACTTTTATAATAAATTAAATTGCAAAATACTTAGTAACACCAAGACGAAAATGTCACCCTAAAGTTGTAAAGTGTAAAATTAAAAATTTTGCATTGTAATTGGATATAATTTTTTAATAAAAAACGAGTAACCAATAACAACTATTAACTATTGCCAATATTAGAAACATAAATAACAATGAATGTTTTTGGAGTGAACAATAAGATCTCGAAAATATCCGAAGCAAAAGCGACACTGACACAGAGTACCAAAATAATGAGATGTAGTAATAACAGTCGCAATGAAATATCCGTTTCTAGCAATATATCCGTTTCTATGTTGCAAGCAATATGACACAGGGTTCCACAGCAGACCCTTCACTTACACTTGCTTGAGAAATGCGTAGGAATTAAAAATTCAAGTAGCTCCCGAAATTTTTTATTTATCTTGTCGAAAATTAATAGACGATAATTTAATAAAATAACTCACATCGATATTAAAGCTAAACAATTTCTCAATGCTAGGTTAAACTAACATCCATAACATTAAAAAACGTCCAAGACAAGCTCACATCTAAAAGAATTGCTTAAATGTGAATAAAAAAAAAACAAACGAAACAAGAAAAATAAATTTAGTCTGAAAATACGCAGGAGGCTTATGAACAATAAAAGACGGCTCATAAAAAGAGACATGCACTAGTCAGGTAGAAGGAAGCAGAGCAGTAGCAATATAAATGGAACAGGTAAGGTGCAAACTTGAGATTGAACAACAAGTAATGAACTAAGCAAGAATCCATTTGATTAAAGAAAACTTTTTACTGATAAAGATAAAAAAAATTGTTATAAAAACATTTGTTTATCAATCATATTATATGTAAGAATACATTAACCTCAATTTAGATAAGAAATCCACGAAATATTACGTTTTTTAAGATTAATGTCCCGTATTATCCAAATTTTAAACAAACATTGACCAATTGGCCAATATGTAGGTTCACCTGTTTGAGGTTTTTAATATTAGGTGCCTGAAGTAGCTGTGGGTTCATCAATCTAGAGCCCCAAAAAGGATGTTTCGCATAATAAACAGCGCTGTCCACGACCCTTTATCCAAATGATTAAAAAAATCAAAGAATTCATTTATTTTTATGTGCTAGGAAGGGCAGTATATTGATGATTTAAAAGATAAAATACAAAATCATATATGAGACAGTCTAACTGAGCATAACAAAGCGGACAACATAGCAGGAAAACTTAAACTACTAGATAAAATTAAACATTTCATCGATGCTAAGGAGAGAAGAACAGCCGCTCCACTTACACTTGTTTTATAAAAACGTAGAAATAAAGAAGGTAAGGCAGTAGCTGCTGTCAACTTTCAATCAACGTGTCGATGTCGATAATGAATAAATATAATGATAAATGATAAAGTATAGTCTAGAAATCCATAAAATTCCTCAAGGTCAGCTTAAACTAACATTATTAACTTAACCAAAAACGTCCAAGAAAGCTCACCTTTGAATGTATTGTATAAATGTTCCTACTTATGTTTTCCAGTTCAAGCAGTTTTTAGTAAAATAACCATTATAAAATCATTTACAAAATAGCAGAAAAAAAGGACTTGCAACGAGAGACATGCACTAGTCAAACAGAAGAAAACGGAGCAATAGCAATATAAATGAAGCCAGTAAGGTGCAAACCTGAGATTGAAAGACAATGAATGAAGCAATATTCTTTCGATTAAAAAAAAAACTTTTTACTATTAAAAGTAGAAATTTTTCAATATAAAAACATTTGTTTATCAGTCGTATTATATGTAAGAATACATAAACCTCAATTCAGATAAGAAATCCACGAATTATTACAGTTTTTTATGATTTAAGTCGCGTATCATCCAAATTTTAACCTAGCATTGACCCCCGGTCGATTGCCAAATAGTTTTTGAAAGTAAAAGTAAGATTAAAAGTATTTTTCTGTGGTCCCTGAATAAACAATCACATAAGAAGAGTACGTGTTGGCCTTGATAACCTTAGTGTCTTATATAAAATCCCATTTTTACGAAGTGGAACTGCAATTCGTGAAAAAGGTTGAATGAGAAGGTAAAGACATGAAGTTATTAGTAAGTACATATTTGTTATTCTGATTATATAATTATATATGTATATATATTTAATTAAAATAGATATAAACATTTTTATTTGACAGCGTCTCTCGCGCGTCTAGCAGTATTTACTTTATTTGAAATTAGAAAATTATTTGTTTAAATACAAATAGATAATCAAAAAACGTGTATTTTGTCCACTTATTAGAACTCCTTACAGTAAGGTACTAAGGTAAAGTAAGGTATAAGGTACACGTAGGAACTTAATGTTATTATTCGCAGCAGAAAACTTTCAACGAAACAATTTCTTTCGGTTTTGTATCTTCACTTTTAATATAATTGGCCCGGTTTCATCCTATATATCCAGTTCATTTTTCTGCCTTTATACATAAGGTCACCGATCTGTGTTTCCTTGTGAATAGGATATTTTAATTATATACCGTTTATAAAAGATTTGGTAATTAAAGCTATATATTTTTTTTAATTATTTGTTGTTTATATTTGTCTTTAATAATTCATTTTGTAACTTTTGTGTATAATATGTTAAACTTTAGGTGTACTGAGTAAATGTCATCTTTTAAAAATGGCAAAGCTACCATTACATACTTAAAACTCAGTTTTCTTGATTTGTTTGTATTCTTTCTTCTTCTTCTTCTTCTTCTTACTTCTACACAACACTTACGATATATTCCAGGAGTCGGTGGTGATGACATTATCTCCTCCTGCAGGTGCCATCCTCGGTCGATGTACCAACTCCTTCGGCGCGTTCGTCTTCTTCTTAGTCATCCGATTCCCTTTTCCTATAGCCAATGGTGTTTCGTAGGTCGAGTGTACCTAAGCCTACATAGTGTCGGCCACTCCTTGGCTGGGGCTTCCAACTTCGAAGAATTCTGGCTCGTACACGGTATCTGTACACTGCAGGCATGACTTCTTCAGTAGGTCTCGATGTCGAAATGTTAGAGTAAGGGCTCTAACATTGTGACTTCAAACTTTGTGAGGAAGTCCTCTGCCTTTGCTAGGCATTGTGTGGGTATTTGTGTTTCCCGTCCTTCAAATATGGGGGGGGGCTTGAAGGTCCATATACTTGGCTGTGTGGGTTCGGTCGTGTGGCGTGTACTGGATAGTTTTGCTAGCGCTTACAGGAAAGCATTCATCCATGCCTCTTGCTAATTCTTCTTAGCACTCTTATCTCTGCTGTTTTCAGTCTCTGTCGGCTAAGGTTTCTGATGCACATATCATCATTGGTCTTAAAACATTCTTGACTTCATCCTTTGTTAATGAGTCGGTTTTGCCACATAGTGTTATTAAGACATCCTGTTAGTCTACTGGCTTTGTAAACTTGATTTCTCAGTTCTTTGTCCAGGTCTCCATAGCTGAAGTTTTTGCTGGAGAGCTTTGTGATCTTTAAAAGTGGGCCATACAATATATACATATATATGTATATATACAAGCACGTAAGCATGTAAGCATGAAAATTGGTCTTAAAATGCCTGCATGCTCGTAAATAACATGGTAACACCATAAATGTCTTATTTAGAGAATCATCATCATTTTGGCTTTACAGCCCTGTGTGGGTCCTAGCCTCCCTAAACATGTTTTTCCAGTCGTCCCTATCTATCGCCTTCCTCCGCCAAGCACGTATTTCCATAATTCTCATATCTTGATCTATGCTATCTAGGAATCTTGTTCTGGGTCTTCCTCTTCTTCTTTGACCAATAGGTCTATCAAGGAGCGTTTTTCTAGCTGAGTCGGTTTGCTCCATCCGCATTACATAGCCTACCCACCTCGGACGTCATATCTTAATGTGTTTTACGATATCTGGATAATGTGACGATATCTGGATAATTCTATAGATTTCGAAGTTGTTTGTATTCTCCTGACACCATTTTTGGCTTTTTGTTAAAGCAATAATCTATATTACTTAGAGAATAGTTGGTACCTATGCTTCTAGACACAACGCTTTTCAGACGCCACAATCCCTTTATCGTTTCACTTTTTACCTTAGATAGATTACTATTATGAGATCTTTTTAATGGTACGTCTTCATGATGTTTATATTTCAGTATCACATCTTTGCCCATTATGAATGTCAGGATTTTGTATTTTTTTGTGCCTGATGCATATTTTGGTTTGTTTTCATGATTTTTTTTGGGATGTTGTGTTTTTATAAGGCGTATTGGCAATTGTAAAAAAAAAGAAAGAGATGTTATTGAAAAAGTTTAATTATTACCAAGCAGTTTTTGATTAAATCTTTTTTTATTTTATTTATGGTAGTTATAATTCCGTACTATTTCCTGCGTAATTCGGCTTGGATGCTTGTCTAAATTGTTTAATTTTAGTCACACTTTTGCTTCTATTATCTCTACACCTGTTAGGTAACTTTTTATGTTGAGCTAACTTGCTTCCTCTTTACACTTATTTTTTCTAAGGGTAGAAATTTTAAAATTTGTACCAGGTTACCCAATCCCCAGATAGCTGTCGTGTGTTGCATTCAGAGCAGAGGAGTACATCCAAGTTCATTTCCAAAAGCATCGGTTTGAAGGAAATCCTTCAAACCGATGTCTTGCTATTATTTTGCCAACTAAAACCACCCTCTTTTACTTGTGCGCAGTTGACTGTCACATATACCGTATTTTAAAAGTGGGATGGTTGCTGTAAGACTAAAGACACTTTCAGAATACTCCCGTAGCTAATCGAGATCTTATCTCTGTCGTTGGTCCGGCTTGTGTTTCTTTTCTTCTTCTTTATTCTTAACGACTGCTGGGATGTAATTGTGAACACTATTCCATTCATTCTTACTTCCCGACAACTTCACGATCATCTCTCTGACAGTCACAGGGTTCATACCTATTTCTCGATATATTATGTTTCTTTTCATTGTCGATCAACTACACTCAAGCATTGTGTAACAGTGCCTGAATACTCTTAGTATAGGCATGAGTCTGTATCTGTCTTAATAAACCTATGCCCTAAAACACCTATGTCATGTGAGAACTTACGTCAAGAAGTAATATAGTCGCCTGTGACCACAGATCATTTAGTCTCTTAATCTCGTGATCAACATCTTAGTACACTGTGCAACATCTTTTGTATTGTTTCATTCTTTTTGTCATCTTTTCATTGATCTTTCTCTTTCTTCTTTTCTTTTAAGGCTGTAGTCAAATGCTCTTTTCTATCATAGAGATGTCTCTTTTCAATGCAGATATAAAATCCTGTAGGCGCACTATACTTGCAACAAACTTGATCTGTCTATTCGTATTATTAACTCCTTGTAGGTCGGTATCCCTACTGCCCCACTCCAGATTGGTATCGCGGAAAGGATGATTGACTGTACAAGACCTGCTCCTTTTTGATTTGGGGATCACCCTCCCGAGCGCAGCAGCACTTTTCGCTGCCTTTCGAGCTACCACCTATATATCAGTCAGTATCTGCCATTCTTAGATATTTGCCGGTAATGGCAAAAGACCACCGTTTCCATATTCGCAATTCATGACCTCTTCTCCAATGCCTACATTATTTCTTTTCACTGCTGAGTATTGAATGCATTTCTAACATCAAAGTGCAGCAGATCATATTGTGCAATGCCTTGATTACACTCAAAATTACGAAAATTATGTTCTTCCCTTGCAGACTCCAAATTATCTCAAAGATAGGCATCCCGATCTCTCAATTGAATTCTCGATTTGTCTTCACAGCGTATGGAATGACACTTCTTCTTACATTTGAGAAGCAGTACCGACCTTGATGTCCCTTAAGTCTCAGAAAATATATGTACTTCAAGCAATACATTGATGCTTATGTCAATATAGGTAGGATGTTTAGCTAACTGACTTCCTCTTTATACTGAACTTCCTATTTAGCTAGTGCCAACGAAGAGTGCGTAAGAGTTACGTAAGTGAGGAAAACGTCGGAAGAAAACAACTGTCCTGGCTGCGTAACATTAGACAATGGACAGGTCGAAAGGTCGAGGAACTGATTCATCTTGCTGCCGATCGAGAATCATTTCGTCAGATTGTCAATATGACGATAGCCAACGCTTGAATACAAACACGGCACACAAAGAAGAAGAACGAAGAGTACAATTACAAAAAACACAGAGAAGAGTGTAACTCTATGCCCCGAAAAACTTTAGTTTTTCAAATAAAGCGTTAGTCAAAAGAATTGTATCTTGACAAATTGACAGTAAAACTAATAATTTTGGATTGTGTGTTAACAAAACTACTATATATTCAAGAACTCGGTATAAAAATCATGTAGGCCCACAGCCTTACCCTTCTTGATATTCTTTATTTTGTCTTCTACTTTTATTTCGATGATTGGTGGTCCAGTATGCCCTTTTGTTTTCTGCATGATGGTGTTATTTCTGTTGTCTTCAATTTAAACTGTTATATAATTCTTCACATTTATTGTTATTTGCTCTACATCAATTGCTATATTTTCCTTAACGTTGGTTATATTTCCCGATCTTTTTGTATTTGATTTCTGTAAATTGTTCTTTAATCTACTTATTTTTAATTTGTCTATTGCTGGATTCGACCGTTACTTGATTAAAAGTTATTTTATGTAACAATAAGACACTGAAAACATTGTTTTCAAAACTTCCACAAAATTTATTATAAACTCTTATCACTACAGCTGTTTCGGCTGATTGCCTTTTTCAAGTGATCTAATTTTGGCATGCATTTACACTTTATAGTCTTTAATGAAATAGGTTGAGGAGGGGAGAACTGTTTGTCTCAAGTTGATTATTCATTAATATATCTGTGTTTTTTAATTTGGTAATTTCCATAGATTCTAACAAAGATAGCTTAAGGCATTTATTTTGAATGTGAAGGATTTTAAATTCGTCATTAAAGAAATGATTATGATCTAGAATGTGAAGTGCATAGGTAGAATCTGTTTTTCTATTATTAAAAGCCCTTTTATGTTCTGCTTTTCGTTTATTAAAATTTCTACCAGTTTGACCGATGTAGGTTTTTGGGCAGTCGCCAAATTTAAGTTTGTATACACCAGTGTGTAAGTGCTTGTTGTGTTTTTATTTTGGCTCTTGTTGTTTTTAATATATTTGCCCAAGTTGTTATTTGTTGTAAAAGCTGGTGTTATTCCTTTCTTTTTAATGTGTTCGGCTATTTTTGTTGATATTTATTTTGCCTGTAAATGTAATCGAGCAAAAAGTGCTGGGTTTTTTCTCTGGTGGTGGAAACACTAATTTCAATGCTTCCTTATGTAGTTTTTTATTTAAAATTTGATCAATTGTTTGTTCGTTGTATCCATTGTTTACTGCTATTTGCTTATTGCTATTTAATTCTGTCTTAAAATTGTATTTTGACATCGGAATTTCTGTTTTTTTCTAATTGCCTTTTCTATTTCTTCGCCAATTTTCTGCCCTTTCCTTTGACTTTCCCTCTTTCATCCGTCATCGTTAGTTATTGTTTATCCAAAAACTTTTTTCTTTTCTTCTGCTTTGTTTAATATTTTTGATCCAGGCATAATATTTTTTAGATATTCTTGTCGTATGGCTTATGTAGGATATTCTGAGCTTGTACGGTAACACCAGAGTTCGAATGCTTGGATTCTTTTTTTGTCTATACTGGGCCTATTCACTTCTTTAATGGCGTTGTAGATTTAGCCTGCCTAATGCATGATCTTTGTTACTTGAACAAAAAAATCAAAATTTGTTTAATTTACTAATGTTTGTATTTTGAAAACGATTTCCGAAATGGAAATTGAAACGTCAATAAACTTACTTCTTTAATTGTGACTTATTTTCACCTACTTAATACCATTTGTGGCATTAAGTAATTATGGCACTTACTTAATACTTTGGTTAAATAAAGCATCTTTAAATCGGTACTCAAACGGTATCTAATCCTTTAATTTTTTTTTAGGTGTGTCTCTCAATTATTATCGCCACTGTGTATGCACATGGTAGTGGAGGCTACAGTCATGGAGGTTTTAATAGCGGAGGCTATGGTCATGGAGGATACAGTCACGGAGGAGGCGGATACGGAGGCCATCACAAAGATGTTGAACATGTAGTTTCATATGGAGGTGGACACCACGATGGGTACGGTTCGCATCATGACGATGTTCATCAGGTTGTTGAAACTGGTCATGGTTATGGTGGGCATCATGATACTCATGTTGTCGAAACTAGTCACGGTTACGGTGGGCTTCATGATGCTCATGTTGTCGAGACTGGTCACGGTTATGGTGGACTTCATGGTTCTCATGATGTTCATCAAGTTGTAGAATCCGGTCACGGTTACGGTGGGCTTCATGATACTCATGTTGTCGAAACTGGTCACGGTTATGGTGGGCTTCATGATACTCATAATGTTCACCAAGTTGTAGAAACTAGCCACGGACACCATGATGATGTTCATGGTGCTGTTGAAAATGTTTTTGGTGGACGTACTAATGGTCACGATAGTGTTAGCGTACATCGGGAAGTAGTAGAAACTACTGGATATGGCGGACATCGAGATGGACATGCTGCAAACATAGGATCTGGCTACAACAGTGGGCATAATGTCGAAGTAGTCGAAAGCACACACACTAGTGGCCGCTACGGATCTGGTCAACATGTTGTCGCCCAAAAACCTCACCAGGATACTTACGTCGAGGAAACGGTAGAAACTGTACGCAGACAACCATCACGCACTGTGTACACTAGTGGCCAACACGAAACTGGTCAAGCAGTTTTCGAAGACTCTGATGAAGTTGTTGGGGGACATAGCAGTGGGCATCGCGTTAAAGTAGTAGAAACCACACACACCAGTGGCCGCTATGGATCTGGCCAACAAGTTGTGGCTCAAAAACCCCACCAAGATGTTTCGGGTTACGTCCAAGAAACAGTACAAACTGTACGCAGACAACCATCACGTACTGTATACACCAGTGGCCAACATCAAACCGGTCAAACAGTTTACGAAGATTCTGATGAAGTGAACGGAGGAGCATCTAGAATCGTCCAATCCACAAAATATGTAAGAAAACCAGTACAAACAGGACAACAAGTTTTTGATGAGGAAGACTCTGGCGAGGCAGTGCATACTGGAAGTTCTCGTATCATTAAAACCACCGTAACCAAACACACTAGCTCATATGGCAGAAATAATGACCAGTTTTAGATGTAGTGCTGAAAATCAAATATATTATTTGTAAATAAATTATAAAAAATTTCAAAAATAATTTGTAAATTATTAAACCAGTTCCATAAGTTCCTTATATTTGTTTTTATTATATTTTTTTTATTTCTTATATTACTTTTATTAGAAGTTTTAAATACCGACTGAGTTGTCGACAACAAAAAGGTTATTGTACTATTTGCAGAATAACTTGCAGAAATGTTTAAATAAGTATTAAAAATATTTTTTTCCTACTAATCTTTTAAAGTTTTTGAGTTGTGTTCACTATTCCAGTTTTTGTTTTATTTAGTGTAAAGACGGTTAAACAGAATGAACCAAACAAAGATATCAAAATAGTTGATAGGATTTAAAAGGCATGGTTAAAGAAAAATTTTAGAAAACAAAAAGTAAACAATACAGCAGTAAAAAGATCTAATAAAATATAAAAAAATTGATAGATGGAAATTATTTATACGTACCAATGCTATTGATTTTGTTATATTAAAATAGGCAAAAGTTTTAGTAAAAACTAAAATATTTTTTTTAAATAATTGGTTTTATTATTGTATTAAATCAAATCAAAATGGATACCCCACTTTTTCCGGGGGAAGAAATAAGTTGTCTTCGACACTACCTTAATAAACTTCCTGTCAGAATAATTCCCTTAATTAACTCTTCTATCTCTATCCCTCGGCTAGCCGCGGACAAAGAATTATTTTGCTTTAACAGCTTAAGAGGCAATTCACGAAACGCTTTGTGGGTGGTTGTTTTATATTATGATGCTATTTATTACCTAGTTCCTAATTAGTACGATGTTACTATCGTTCGCGTGCAGTGAATCGACTAAAAAATTACGGGCCCTTGAGGCCTATTTGGTGGGGCCAACGAGATTTTTAAAGCGATCGCTACTAAAATATTAATATCGGATATAAATGCTCGTTTTGCCTATTTGAAAGGTAATAGTATTGATCTGGGAGAATACTAACATTTTTCAAAAATACTACAACACAAGGATGATTATAAATATTAAGCGTGGATATGCGAAACACAAACATTTTGTCACTTTGTAAAATGTATTTGAAAAATTATGTAATTTCTCTAAAAAAAAAAAAATATTTTCAATATCTCTCTCTTCAGTCTTGTCTCCTGGAGAAAATGTAGTGGTCCTCGTAATGTTACATCATACATAGTTATTTTACACGTTCCTGTGATCTGGTCAATCCATCTTGTTGGTGATCTTCCTTGTGGTCTTCGGCCTTTTACCTTCTCTTAATGATAAGTCTGTCCATCCTGTCTATGTCTGATCTCATAGCATGTCCAAAATATTTTAATTGTATAACAACTAAAAAAAATGTAAGAAAATATCTCGAGATACGCTGTGGGTAACAAATGCTACAGCAAAACAAAATGCTGCTAATAAATTTTCCCCCTTAGTGCCCACAGTTGATTTCTTAAATGAAAACCTAAAAGGATATTATTTGCGAACTTAGATTTGGCTCGATAATAAAATTATTTATTCAATCAATTGGGGATTAAAAGTTAAAGAACAATAAGACTAAAAAGGACTATATTATATTTACCTTGTTATCAATAGAACAAGTAATTATGCTCATATAAATTAAATAAAATTATTTGGTCTTTTTAGTACTAGTTAAATGGACTATTAATTTGGTAAAAACAGTTTACGTCAATTAATACTATTTATACACTGAGTTTGTGAACTATTGTAATAATATATGTCGACATGTAGATAATTATAGTGACTAGGTGAAGGTTGAAAACTATATGCCGGATAGTATACTCTTTTTAGTAACTCTAGTAATGCTGTTGAAGTAAAAATAGAATCTGTTTAAAATTCTATATCTGAAAATGCGGAGAGCAGATAAAAATCAGGTAATACCAGTATTGATTCCAACATTAAAGAAGTTTATTAACGAAAAAAAAGCTGAACGTAAAAGAAATCAAAACTTTGGAAAAGTTCATGCAACAGCAAAAAGTAAGGTAAAACTAGCACGCTGCATGAAAAAATTGAAGCCTGTAGAAATAAATGCAATAATATAAAGATCCAACGATTAACATTAACATTAAGATCTAAAAGAATACAAAGATCTAACCTCTTTGTTTTTCGTTTTTTTTTTATACAAAAAAAGCTATTTAACGAATATTGGTTTATGGTGATCTCAACTAACGTGTTGCATATATTGTTAGCCTAATAGACTCTGAACCACCTAAAACCACTAGAAAAAGGACTATAGATCCGGATAAGAAAAAAGTTCCCACAGTGACTCATGTTTTTCATATAAAGGTGAATGGCGTTAGAATTCAAGTTTGTAAAAAATGTTTTACGAACACATTTGATGAGACAAATATGTTTATTTCACCGGCTTTTACAAATAGGGATTCAAATACTTCAGGGAGAATAACCGATGATCAGCGAGGTCGTGATCCTTCTGCTAGCAAGTATAATGAAGAAACTATTAATGCAGTGAAGTCCCACATAAATTCTTTTGCCCTATATGAATCCCTTATACTCGACGAGAAAGTAATAGTATGTATTTGCCATGCCATCTAAATCTTTAGAAAATGTATAAAGTATACTGTAAAAAAATGAATCACCTGAAGAATGACCTGAAAAAAATGAGTTCCATAAAATGAACATTTCATTTAAAAAATCTAAAGTAGATACGTGCCATGAATGTGATGTGCTGAGTAATAAACTCAAAGTTACTGAAAGCAAAGTTGATAAAACTAAAATAAAAGATGAGATAAGTATTCATCACACTGCTGCAGTTAATGCAGGTGTTATGAAGAGCAACGATACAGAAAAATCAAAATGTGATAGTACTTTTAGATGCTTAACTTTTGGAAGTAGAGGTATCAATATAGCTACTTGTATTTATAAAGAATTATTATCACTACCTCCACATGTATCCAAAGTAACCCTATACCCGGATACATTTAGTGATCAGAACAAAAATTCACATGTTGCTATGATGTTTTTAGTAGCAATGCAAAACAACACTAATTTAGAAGTTATTGACCATAAATTCATGCTGAGTGGACACAGTCATATGGAGTGCAATATTGGTCACGGATTGATCGAAAAGCAAAAAAAAAGGCTAAGTGTTCGTACAGGAAAAAAAGAAAAAATTCAATGTTTTATTACTTTACCATGGTGATTTCTTAAATTTTGTAGATCTTTTGAAAAGTATCTGTCGAATGTGCTTATAAAAGATTCAAGAAGAAATCATTTTAATTGGTTTGATGTGAACTGGATTCGTTATAAGAGAAAAAAGGGAATTATTCTTTATTAAACATCACTTCATGAAAAAAAGCAGTTCTGACGCTAAGTGTACTACGTAGAGGACAAACTAATGCTAGGTTGGTACCCAGCAATTTGTATAAAAGCACTCTTGCTATATTAATGCAGAAGCAAAAGGATATGTTTGACCTTCTTCCTGTGATAAGTTAGTATTTGATGATTTTGTTGATGAAGTTTCATCTGACGCATAGTAATACTTTTCTCCGTTAAGGGGCGTAGCCATTGGTCTGCCGAAACCGTATTAACGTTATTCCTATGTTTTATATGTTTTTTTAATAAATATTGCATATATATTTTATTTATCTATTTTTTAATAAACAACAGCTTTTTTGGACTGAACAAAATAGTATAAGTCATCTGGTACGTGTGGTCTAAATAATATAAGTCACATTTTTTTGCAATTTCCATTTATTTAAATATATATATATATATATACTTTGTTCAAGATTAGTATTTACAAAGTGAAATAGGTAATTATAAAAATTCCGAGTACTCCGATACTCCGAGAAAAACTCGTTCATATATATGTTGGTCGATTAAGCGAATTCTCTCATCTGACACAATATCATTCAATGATGATACCAGTCTCTCTGATGCCACCGATCTTCCGACTAACGACATGTATTTTTTAGCTATAAAAGCCAAGCCTGGCATACAGGTTCTGTGCTGCTCAAGAATGAAAACGGAACACTTAATCTCGGCAGCAAACGCTGCTGCAGATATAGAGTCAGTTCATTTGGAAAAGAGCTTTGAATCCGTGTGTCCTAAGAACTTGAACTGGAACCACTGTTCACCAACTCCAGATCGTGTGAAGACCAAAGAGGGTTTGATTTTAGAAAGGAAAAAGTTTTCCGATTTCGGTGAGGTACGTCCTTACTTCCGAGCCTAAATTGGATGTGACTGTTTGTAGCAAAGCAGGGGGTTTCGTAAAAGCTTAGTGACCCTCTCTTGAAGGTTAGTTATAAGCTTTTGGCATAACTTTTGGTCTGTATTAAGATTTGACTTGAGGTTTTTTTAAAGACCTTTCGATAATAGACACAAGGGGGATAACAAGCTCCCTGGAAAATACTGGAAACTGTCCTTTGTGGCCTCATCGAAAGTTGATTATATTGTTACAATTTCAGTGATTAGTTTTATATCTGAACCAGAAATCATCCTTGGTGCTTTTTTAATCGAGGGATCTGCCAGTATTGCAGCTATATATGGGGACATTAATGTGAATTTTTTAAGCATATAGTAGACAGCATTTCATTTGGTTGATACGGATTGTACCAAAAGCTTCACTTCACCCTCTGACTTGCCCTCCCGTTCCTGCTCCATTCGTAACCTTTCCATTAAGAGATTGCTGTGCCTAGCGAAAGTGACTATGGCTTTTATTTCGTTTATTACATTTTTTAATGATACATTATTTATATCTTCTATTTAATGATACTATTTGCCATCTGTGACAACTAAATTTAATATGTGTAGATATAAAATGAAGCAGAGCTCACACTCGCCTCAGAAGCAGATGAAGATGCTTCCTGATCGCCTCTATGCAAAAAAGTTCCGATGTCCGCCAGTTCTTTATCCTAAGCAAAAACAAAATTCCCCTATTAATTCCTTTACTTAAATTTTTCTATGAAATGAGCTTACCTCTGGCTTATTTTCCAGATATTTTTGATGTCTATTTTTTAGGTGCTGTCTCAAATTCGTCGTGCCTTCTCCTGGTTTTATTATTTTCAAACAAATAGAGCACTGTGCCTCATGTTGCTACGCTTCGAAAACAAATTCCACACAAACGATTTCGACATGGTAAAAATTAAAAATTCGAAACTTGAAGATGAAAAGAAAACGGCGTTACTTCTAACCGGCGTTGTTACTATAGATTTATTTAGGCACTAATAAAGTATAACTGGTCTTCAATGTCGTTATTTGAATTACTTGATTACTTAGATCGAAATTACATTTGATTTGTGTGAATCCCAAAGATTTGTGAATTTCAGTAGTCAGATGTAGATAACAGTAAACCAAAATTATTATACTAGTGCTCAACAGAGAGCGCTGAAATAATTCAGGTTCTACTGTCATTGAATATATTATGAGAGTAGAATATAATATGCAATTATTGTATTCAATTAAATTATGCAAATTTAATTTACCCTTTGAAAATATAATCCTCTAAAATTTATTATGTATAACTTTTAACACGTTTTTATATTTGTTTAATAGGTACATAAACCCATTTAATACTTCCTGTATTGTTTGGAAAACGTAGGGAATTCCTTGGAGATTCGTATTCGTATTCGGTAATTCGATATTCATAGTCAGAATATTATTATTTTTGGTAATCAGAAAAAGCCATTCATCCACTTTCAATGTCAAGAGTCAAGTGTGAAAAATATGTAATGTACCAGATCACTTCTTATGTAAATATTATGATTACAAATACCTTCTCAACGAAATATTATAACAAAACTTAATTGTTTCTGGCTGATATGAGTTTGCACTTTCAGTTTGCTTCTGTATTTATAAAATAAAATAAAATTTGAATAATGGTTTTGTTTGGAATAATTACTTGAGAATAATAATTATGATTGGAATCCAAAATAATACCTAAATAATACTAATAAAAATAAAAAACCTAATAACCGGTTTTAACTTTTAAAATAAAAAACCGGTTATAACCGGGACAAAATAACAACCGGTATAACCGGTTATTGCGAAGTAAAAAACCGGTTTTCGGTTAAAACCGGTAGGTTTTTCCCATCCCTAGGCCGCATAGTTATGTGAATATCGAGGCAATCCAGCTTCTTGACAGCACTGAACTAAAGAGAAGACTTATGACAATTATTATGACACTTATTATGACAAAACTACTACTAAGTTAGAGTAAATATTTAACAGTGTAGTGTAAAAAACATAACAAACATAATACTGTGATGTTATGAAATGTTAATTGTAGTGCATAAGTTGATTTTTCTTCTTCTTAACGTGCCCTATCAAGTCCCCTTGACGTTGGCGATTAACATGGCGAAACTGCCTCTGTCTCGAGCTATTCTAAAGAGTTGCTCAGCTTTTCTTATTCCTAGCTTTTCTTATTCCTAGTTCCCAGCATAAGTTGATAGATAAAATAAAAGTAAGCCATAGGGTAAACCCTTAGATTTACGCATTTGTTGATTTTTAAGTCATGTGTTAAGATAATGGGTCACTTGTGACCAGTTAACAATACACAAACACCGTATTATACAAAACAAAAACAATTGTAGCTAATATTTTTGAACAAAAATGTTTTTAGCACTTTACCTGAGAAATGAACCGATCTCTCAGAAACACCGCCTGAATCGACCGGCGATTTTAAATGTCAATTACGCGCGCGAACTCAATTTATTGAGTAAAATTTGTGTCATATTAGCGGTTCAAATTCGATATCTTTTGATCGTATTATTATATCTACAAAAATCAAAATGCATTTTAAAGGCAAAAAATGTGGCTTTCGTATGTTTGTTTTGCGTTTTGTCACAAATAAAGTCGGTTTTTAGAAAGCTATTAAATAAATATCAACGCAGATAGCAAAACTTAAGTGGAAGTTCGCTGGACTTATCATAAGACAGAAAGAAGACATATGGAATAAAACGATTATACACCGAAGTGGATACAAACTGACTACAATGGAGAGACGTGTAAGAAGGAATAGGAG